GGTTCGAATCCACTGTTAGACACTAATGTGTCCCTGAGCAAGACACTTAACCCCCAGTTGCTCCAGAGGCGTGTGACCTCTGACATACAGTATATAGTCGCTTTGGATAAAAGCGTCAGTTAAATGAATAAAAGTGTAAGTGTAAAATGTAACAAGCGATGGACTGAGCCAGGTCTGAGCCAATGGAAGAAAGAATTAAGTAAAAACACATTGCAGGAGCATCACAACTGGGGTGACCCTGCATGTTTAGTTATGTAAACCTGTCAAAATAAGAAACATAAACCATTATTTTCACATTTTACACTACTTATTTTTCATTTAATAAAAACAATGAGTATAAAACCTCAATATATACACTTTTTAAGCTTTAGAACATTTGAATTCATTATCCATAGTTAGAAGGAAATAATGTAGGCTACATGTCCTGTAGTTGCACAAATGGTATCTGCACTTTGTCTCTTAGTGTGTGAATAAATGCAAGTGCATGCGGGCATGAGCCTCTGCTTGTCATCACTTGCCCTCATGTCTGCCTCTTGTCCCCCGCTGTCTCCCTCTGTCAACGTTATCACACACTCTTATCAGTGTGGCGGCACCATTTTTTGGAACAAAGTCCGGCCCTCCTGCTCCTCCCCCATTCATGGTCCTGCATTCTCAATCCCTTCTCATTTACTTGCTTTTCCTCTGAAGTAGAATAAGCGATGTATGAGTTTATCTTATACATTCTCAGTTGGCACCAGAAATGCACTGTTATTTAACTTCTGGCAGATAAGCAAAAATGTATTTTGTGTTAGCGTTGATAACGGATAAATGGCCAATGAGTTTTAGTCTGCGATCCCTAACCCAGGCTATATGCACGCATAAGTTCCGCATTTGACAGAAGGATGCTCGTCCATTTCCGGTTGTGGAGATTTAAGCGGAGGAAAACCGAGGAAAACGGGATTATGGCAGAGTCTTCAAAATTTACCGTCCTCCTCCTCATGTCTTTGAAATGAAACGTACATACGTTTAGATGTAATTTTATATATAGTTATGTTTATTTAATATAATTTTAAAAAGAAGCATAAACACAACGAGGGGTGTCTGTTTTATCTGTTTTTGTGACGAACGTTTAGTATAACCATGGAGTATAAAATTCAATATAAATTCTCGGTATTGCATTGGACTCTACGATCGGCGGAAGTTATCGAGCATCCTTACACCTCACCGGAAATACCGCCGTGCATAGAGCCCATTAAACCTTACTCGGAGCAGGTTAGCCGTGTAATGTAAATTACCATGGCGATGAAACCCACTAAAAACCAATCCACCTTCTTGAGCCCGAAAAAATAGAGTTTGCTAGACTAACCTCAAACTTACCTGGAAAGCTTCCTGCAATAGGCCACTAAAATAAATAATTTAAAATCAAGTCCAAGGAAAACAATGACAACGGAACAAACACTGCGATCAAAAAAACTTTACTGAACAAAAGAAAATTCATAGCAGAGAGAGGCTGCAAACATCAGCTTTGGAATCAAAAGAATGCCAGGAAATCTATTTTGTAATGAATTCAATGCAATTTAACACCCTTCTACAAGAATTACTTCAGGTAAGATCGAATAATCAGCTTTATTACCTTCCTGTTTTGTAAAATCTGTGGGTTTTCACTACAGTATAGATATGGAAGAGTGTAAAAATAAACCACAAAAATTACTGTTGCTGATGCCCAGAAGAGAGATGTTTAAGACTGGTGGAAGACCTGCAAAAAAAGATACTGACCAGTTGGATGAATTAGCTCCTGACAGGTGTAAAATTAAGAGCCACAACCTTTGGATCAAAAGTGGATTCGGACATGCCCTAAGTGCACTTGTGCCTTGCACTTTAGACCATGCACTTTGATTGTTTAAATAGGGCCCTTAATCTCTGTCCGGGAAACAGCCACTAAAAATCTAAAATCAATTATGCAAGTGAATTTTTTTATTATAATCTACATTTGAAAAATGGATACTTACACTCAAAAAAAAGAATATGTTGGCTTTAATTAATTTTAATTTGTCAACAGGTTCCACATAACTGGATTACGTTAAACAAAAATAATTTGTTTATGTAACTTCAACATAATGGAATTGTGTAATTTTAAATTACCCGATTTAAGTAGTCTCACTCTCAACATGAATTTTTAAAGGCTTCCTGACATGATTCAAAGGTATTTCATTATATTCATTCATCCATTTATATTTCATTTGATTCAGTGACATTTAATTAAATTAATAGACGTTAGCTAGCTATTTGCTAGCAGAAGCACATATTTGCATCTTGAATGCTAATATTTACATGCTCCTTCATTCAAAGCAATAGAAAATAATGAAATCAGTCGACAGGCTAACAAAATGCTCCACTCTTCTCCACAATGGTAACCCACTGTTATTTAAATGGTCTATTACATTATAGTTGGCTCATAAATGTACAAATGAAGACTCTATCTTAAAGACACACATAGCCCTACACATAGCTACGCACAGCCCTACTTAAAAATCTACACTTAAAGAATAACACATTAACTGTCCAGTTGCCTCTATCAGCCTGTAGGCTTACTTGTCTGTGGAGGAGTTGGGTCCGAATTTGCATCTAAAATCTACGTCTACTTGGGCTTACATCCGTATGGCAGCCATTAGTCATAGACATTTACACTAGACGTCACCTTGGGGTTCTAAGCATGCGTCAAAACCGCCGCCATCTTGGAACAGGGGTGTTGTCAGGAAGTAGCTAGGTAACGCTGCTATCTCGGCCTTTAATTCGAATTAATTTATGGTGGTGGACTTTTGTGCTGTGTATGACGTTAACACAAATGAAATCTGGACTAAGAAGGATGGTTTTTTATTATTATTTTGTATTTTTTCTGGTATCAACGATAAATACATGTCTGACCGTTGGAACGAACAAAAAAACCCCGAGAAAATCTCATTCATGATGATTTATGGTGATTTTATTTCCTATAGACCTTTGTCTACATTGAGTGGAGGGGCTCCCCTGTTCCAAGATGGCGGCTCTATTGACCCATTCGTTCTAATGAACTGCCGAAGCCAAGGCATCATCTAGTGTATATATCTATGGCCATGGCAATCGCTAGCAGTAGTGTTTCAAATGGACTTTGCTGACGGAAAGAAGCGACCAGCCTTCAGCACAATCCAGATACCCACAGAAACTCCTCGTAAGTTAAAAAAAAGAAATAAATCTATATTGTGGCCCACGAGCATGTGACTGGCTGCAGTTTCTCTAATGACCACTGGTGTCAGTAACGCTCCTTTAATGCTGCTTCTTAGTGACGAAGAACTATGAGTTTCAACATCACCAAAAATCTTTGGTGTTCATACACGGTTTTCTCAAATGCTCATACCTCATTTTTAAAAAGACTGATCAGCATTCATTGTGAGTGATGATGATGACGTATCTAGCCTAGAAACTCCATCATCAGCAATAGCAAACTCACTTGAATGCTCCCACCAAAGATCCATCATTTACCCTGCAAGTGAGTGGTTCTCTTGGGCCTCATGCAGCACCCGAACGCCTCCACACAGACAAAACATCCATATTTCAAATTCATGTCCACATAATATTTTTTTTTACCAAGAATGATCGCACTGATCTTTTGAATGCTAATAAAAGCAGTATAATGGTGACTGTTTATATTGAAAGCTTTTACTAGCAAATTGATGACTTAATTTGAGATTTTTTTGACACATCAATTCATGGCATCTTCTTAAAGCCACTTCATTGGGTTTATGTGCCCTGCTTGCACAGTGATGATAGTCTTAGCCTCAGTCTGACCGTTCACTGACTGGTGAATATTGCACATAAAACCGTAATGCAATTTTTCAGTCAAGTAAACTCTAATCTTTTTTACTGACTTTAGGCAATTTCCATGAGTACAAGCACACAGGTTTTCTTATCAGTTCCAATGGAAACAAATGTGTTTACAAGGTACCAATCTGGCTGATACACTACAATTTGCTCGCTGTCAAATATGTGAAAGTTATTCACCGTTCGTTTTTTCCACAGATGATATTATACAACGCATTCTCACCCCAAGGCGTCACCTTTGACCATGCTTCAATATTTGACGTTTTAGGCGCCCTTTAGCGTCACTTACATGACGCGATCCTATGGCGTCATCTAACTGACGCTAAAGGAAAGCGTCAGTTAGAGGACGCGGTTAGGTTTAGGTGTGGGGTGGGGGTAGGGTAAACGCGATCCTAGGGCGTCATCTCACTGACGCTAAAGGGCGCCTAAAGCGTCAGATATTGAAGCATGTCCAAATGCTTCCCAATGCGTCAGTTAGGTGACGCCTTGGGAGTGAGAATGGGCTGTATTATAATGGTTCCAAAAGGAGGCTTTTCACAGTGATGCCACAGAAGAACCATTTTGTGTTCCCAAATGAATCTTTGAGTGAATAGTTCTTAAAAGAACCATCTATTCTAAATTGTGAAGAACTTTTTAATTATCTAAAGAACACTTTTCCAGTGCTTTATTAGTATATGGTCTTAGAGATTTCTCCATTACAGATTTTACAGTTTTCTCTCAACATTTAATTTATCATTAATACATTTGACCAAACAATAAACCTTAAAGCTCTATAATTTAAAGAAGTCTAAAAGATTTAAAAAAAAAAATATGTTATAAGCTTTAATTTGTTAACCTTGGTTAGTTATGAACAACAAACAACACGCATCTATTTTTTTACAGACATTAAGATTAATAAATGCTTTAAAATATATATTGGCCATTGTTAGTTGATGTTAGCTAATGAGATAGGCTAGATAGTTGGCTAACTAATGAGAACAAATTAGACTTCATTGTAAAGTGTTAGTTGGCTATAGCAAATTATGAAATGTTTCTCGATGGAGACAACTAGTGACAAAGAATAAATAAAAAACAGCAAACCCATTCGTTATTTCCTATGCGCTCTTCTTCAACACATTACGGTAAAGGGTGGACTTTTGTTGTCTGCGAGCTGGAGACAGACAGCTGAGAGTGAAACAGCCGTGTGTGTGTTTGGAGCTTGAGATTCAGACGCGCTGCACAGCGTCTCGTCCCGAAACCCTAGACGACAACCAAGAAGAGTCACTTGGAATACTGCCCGCAGCTCTAATGTCCGAACACATTTCTTTCCTGAGAAAACTTGCGTGTGTATGTTTTTTCTTCTTCTTCAGTTAGGGCACAAGCAAAAACACCGCATTTTCACATTTTAAAAGCAGCTGTCTTCTCGGAAGGGGCCGCACCTTCAGCTGAACATCATCCAGGTAGGTTTATGAAAGTTAATGTGCTGTATCGAAGCCAACATCTTTGCTTCAGTCAGATTTAAAAAAAAATGGTAGAGAAAGAAAGCGGTAATTAAGATATGTGTTGTTTGAATTTGCATTTTTTTATCCGCAAATTGCTTATTGAATTGTGTCCATCACTACATGTTTACTCCTTTAGTCAACTTTTTGTCCTACAGCATCCCATTTTTTTAATCCTCCGTTTGTCTGATGTGAGTGTGTTTGAAATGAAGCATATAGTTTAGTTGAGAAGTGCATCTTTAGACCTAGGATAGCTATAATAACCTATACAGGTCCATTCAACTGGTCATATGATCTTGCTTTTTATGTCATTATGCCCAGGTCTTTAAATGACAATTCTGTGTTTGTGCCATGCACTGCATTTGTTATTATTGATATTTTTAATATATTACTATTTTTATTTTTTGATATGGCCCTAGAATACGTAATTCTGTTGGCCAATTGAGCAGTCAAATATGTCATCTATATTTTATATGTCCTACCAAGGAAGCAGTGAAGAGTCCCACTGTTTATAGTTAAGCTGTACAAAAAAAAAAAAAACAGTATTTTATTCCGTCACATTTATATGAATATTAAATAATAGTAACTGGTAATTATCTGCGGTACTCATTTTTATGTGTTGTATTCCACTCTGTGTGCTGTCATTTGTCCAAGACAAATTTAAGTAGGCTAACTTATTAACCGTATATTTCACCGTTTCCTATACGACAAAACACTAGCACTACTTTCATGTCACATTGTCACTCAGTTTCTACGACTATATATGTGCTATATTAATAATGGCCTCAGAGGACATTATTAATTTTTTTTATTATTAATTCTGCGCATAAAACTTTTCAGAGATAAATTAGCTTCGAAGTCCAGATGAAAAACAAAACAAAACAAGACATCATCTTGGCTGGGATAACAACAAACCGATTAGAAAAGATCTAAGAGAGAAAACACTAATCCATATGAGAAGTAACCAAAGGTTAATAATATATAAATTGCAATATTGTTGCAGTGTTGGTGTTCATGACTGATTGTTTTCTACGTAGCAATGGGCAATTTTTCTTGACAAGCCATTAACAGGCATGCATTCATTATTTTCTAGGGTTATCATCAGGTAGCCGTACTCGGCTCACTCGATCAAGGCTACATCTGCATCCGAATTCACTCACTTCATTTTGTGTACTTAACCACCACAAACTTTGTAGGGATTAGTGGACGGATGATTTCGGACACAGCTTATATCTCTAAATCTAGTGATTTATATTTTGGGTTTTATAGGCGTGTGCGGGGTTGGCTCAGCTGACTCATCTGGTGCCTAAAAAGCTGTCTAGGTAGACAGAGCAGTAGATTTTGAGATGCAACTAGAGGCAATAAGAGCTCTGTTCCTGGATATGTTCCCATTTACTGCTCATATTGTCCATATTTTCACACGAATGTCTAAGTATGGAAAATAATTGCCTTGCACCTTGTCTTCTGGGCAATTAATTAAATTGAAACAGTGTCTTTTGAATGTGCTGCATGCTGATAAAGGACAGTGTTTAATCTGAGCCTTATCTCTTTGAGCATAACCAGCTTCACTAAAGCTCATAATAAATTAGTCTGCAAATCCTCCTTGGCTGTAGAGAACAGAAAGTAAAAAAAAAAAAATCATCTTATCCATCAACGTCATAGCTTATTACCATGAATGTGTTATCATAGGTAAACTGCTATCGAGCACATAAAGATTATGCTGGATAAACACTTATTAACCTATAACCCCTTTTAACTAAACACGACTATGCTGATTTAATGCTTGGTAGTGGTTGAATGAAGCCCATTTGTTAAATGTCAGTCCTGTCACTTGAGTCAACTGAAGAGGTTACACTTCTTTTGGATTTTTGTTTGCAGTATTTTTGGTATAACATTTTTGCAACAGAAGCTTTCAAAGGCTATAATCTTATTTAGAAAAGACATAGTAAGTAGGCAAACCATGTTTGCATGAGACAGCAAGTATTGGAATTAGCACTTCATCTCAGTGAATGAGGTCTGGCAAAACCTCATAACAAAATGTCAAGCTCAAAACAGTTTGTCTTCCATCCTTTTCTCTCTGCCTTCTTAATTTTAGTTTCGTTCACATCTAAAAAGCTGCAACGTTGAATTTGACCACTGAGGGGGTGGATGTTTCCTAAGTGAGTCTAGACTCTTGTCCTGCTGACCTTGGGTTTCTCTAGTATAATCCAACTCGTGTAATTAAACACAACATGATTAGTGGCCAGAACGGACACTGTTGCTGTGGAGGTGCGTAGTACACAATGTATATGTGGCAGGCTTAAACACTTTTGTGTGGGTTTTCTTCTTTGGTATCGGGAGTGTGCTTGCATATGTGTGTATGAATAATTGGGACACAAATGGATGGATTTCAATGAATTTGTTCACTATACACATCAATACACATGCCATAACTGGAGAGATCGGTGCAATCCAAGAGAGCATGCTATAGGACCTGACCAGTAGCTGCTAAAAAAAAATGAGCCCGATCTATTGCACGAATGTCATTTCTCGTGCCATTTATACGCCAAAAATAGTTTTTGCGTGTATATGGTACGCGTTTTTCACGTGCATATGATACGCACTTTTTGGCGTATAATAAGTACAAACTCCCCACCCCCCTTCCCCCTTAACCTACCCAGGGGGTTTTCAGAAAACCATTTATACGCCAAAAACCATTTTTTGGCGTATAAATGCCACGAGAAATGACAATCGTGGTATAGATGCACACTTTCATGAGACTGTGTTGAAACAAACATACAGAAGATTCCAGTCAAGAGAGATGAATGGCCTTATAAGTACTGGCAGTCCATTTCCAGTGGTTTTGTAATGGGGTCTATTACAATGCTCTTTGTATACTATTAAACCTTTATGTGGGCTTTTTGTAGAGTGGATGGTCACCTGAGTCATAGATGTTATCCAAACAGCTGTCCTGGTGTGTATGTGCGCCCACTTCTGCATTTTGTCTGAAGGTTGCAGCTGACAGCGGAGCAGTGTGGGAGTCGGCTGGTTTTGGTCGACTGGCTCACAGTCAGAGAGAGAGAGAGAGAGAGAGAGATGAACACTCTGTAATTAGCACCCGCGGCTGCATGCTGCATTCCACCTCTGCAAATTACAGAGTGGCCTGCCTGCACTGCCAGACCCAGCAAACCTGCCTGTGTGAGTCTATCCAGACCCCCCTCTTCCCCTCCCTCGGCCTCACGCACATGCAAAACTACAGCTATACCTGCTAGCAGCAGACTTTGCCTTCTCTTCCAGTTCACTTCCACTGTGTTTTTTTTCCCTGCGCTGCTGTAATTGGCAGTGGTGGAGGCTCCCGTCTCTCCGGGGCTCGGCCTGCATTGATTTGTTTGGATTTCTGTTCCCCTCCCCAGAGCTTTGGCGTACATATGCACCACAGACTCCCTACACTGCTGTCTGTCATGTCTGAGCGGCATGTTTAAAGAGTTTGGTGTTGTTTATCGAAGTGCACGTACACCGAAATGCACGGAATTTTCATAACACAAGGGATTTCAACTATTTAAATTATGAATTGAAGCCTTTGGGTTTTGAAAATATGCTTTGTTTTGAGGGTTTAACAGGGTTAAAGATGTCAAAATATGCTTTGAGACTGCAAAGGGGTCTTTGTTCAGAGCTTATGAGTGGGTTTCGACAGGGCTGTAACCACCATAGAAATTGAGGGGGACCTACCATATATATATATATATATATTGTTCAAAAATAACAACTATTTTACAGTAAAAATGGGAAACGACCAACGGTAGTATATTCGCTGATGCAAACTACGAATTTTTTTGCCAAATTTCGCTATTAATTGACAATTGAATTATTCAACATAAATTATTTTTTCTACATATTAGGCATTCATTTAAGAGTGAATGTGTTCAGTGGTGTTTGTGAGAACATAACTGAAGCAAAGAGCTGTGTGTGTTTGTGAGGGTGGGTGTGTGCGAAACGATCATGTGTAGTCTGTGCTGATGGATGGGACCGAGTAAATGACTGTGACCCTGACAGAGGACCCAGCTGAGGGACCAAATGAGCTTTGTGACATTGTGTGTGTGTGTGTGAGAGAGAGAGAGATAAAGTGTTGGTTTGTGATTTTGTGCTTAAGTACAGAACACCATATAGGACAAGTGGCCTCACTTCCCCTCTCCTTCTGTCTTGTGCCGTATGCTGATTTGATCTTGATAGATTGATAATACTTTTCGCCAAATTTCACCATTCAACTAACACATAGACCGTGTATCTATACATCCAATGGGATGTCCATCTGTACAATATTAGTGGTTGTCTATTGGTCCAGCTGAATATAGTGTTTCTATATTGTATGTCTGTATATCCAGGTTGAATATTGTGCTTCTATAGTGCATGTCTGGGCCTATACTGTATGTTCCAGCTGAAAATAGTGCTTCAATAAAGCTTTCGTGAAGTTATTTCTCAACGGTCTCATCGGCTGACTCTGCTGTTAGAGGATTTGCCGAACAGCAGTTTCCTGTTTATGTCTGTGCTTCCTGTGTTGAAAGTTATCTTGTCGCTGGGTTAGTTAATGTAAAGGGCCAGATAATTATAAACAGAGATGCTGGAAAATGTCATCAAAGTCTACCAAATTATAATGCACTTACTTGCCAGGGAACTGATATCACTTCTCATGGCATTTCCATATAAAACTTTCCCTTCACTCATAGCCGTTTCAAACTCATCACTGGGATACTATTGTGTGTTCTGAGTGGTAACCAGTACTGGCACTTCAATATTTTAATCTGAAGTGTACACTCACCTAAAGGATTATAAGGAACACTTGTTTAATTTCTCATTAATGCAATTATCTAATCAACCAATCACATGGCAGTTGCTTCAATGTATTTAGGGGTGTGGTCCTGGTCAATCTCCTGAACTTAAACTAAATGTCAGAATAGGAAAGAAAGGTGATTTAAGGAATTTTG